AAAAGAAGAAAAGAAAGAAGAAGAAGAAGACAATGGACACTTAAAAACTCATGTCTTTACATATCCCCCCAAAAGAAAGGTTCGATTTTTCGAAAATTAACCGAAGCAAATTATCTTTTTTCACCCACCAACGGCAACCATAAACCGCCTTTTACTCACCGGCTCCTCCTCCAAAACCACCACATCTTTCACCTTCTCCAGAAGCTCCTCCAGCCCACTCACACCAAACCTCCCATAATCCAGCTTCCTTTTATACCTCTGGCAGTAAATCTCCTCGAAACACCCCATAAATATCCTGCACGAGTAACTCACCAGAATCTCCTGAAGCTCATACCTAAACTCATCCACATTCTTCTCTACAACATCCCCAAAACCCCCCGATTTCTTCCCGCCAATTAAAACCCCCTCCTCATCCAAAACGACAGGCTGGCGGCAATCGGGCCCGATTCTCGAACCTTGAACAAGGCACACGACCTTCTTCTGGCCCGTCCCCTCCACCGAAACCACATCAACCATTTTCTTCAGAAGATGCACAAGCTTACCCGACCCATATTCCGAAACATAAAGCGGCCGCCCGTAACTCCTCTGATACTCAGACGGCAGTCTCATCAGCTGCAAAACCCCACCCGACATCTCCAGCAACTTCACAATCTGCCCCTTGAGCCCGTTCAAATCTCCAGGCTGGGCCCACATCACATGGGCCTCGTTCGGGCCCAATTCGCAAATCCCCTTGTAAACAATAGATTCCTCCTCCACCTCGTTATCTCTTGCAGTTGGAGAAGAAAAACTGAAACCCTCTCCACGAACGAGGCTCGACCAATCCCAGACGAACCTTCCCGCGCTGCAGAGAGCGGACGAGACCCCGATTTTCGAAGGGATGACGAGGACGACAGTGTAGCCTCGCTGGCCGAGAATGTGAAGGGCAGGGGCAAAATCGACATCTCCCGAGATTAACACGATCGAGGAAGGGGGACAGTTGTCGAGGGCGAAGAGGAACATGTCGACTAAGATTGCTTTGTCGGCCGCGTCTTTACGGCCGTTGGGGACGTCTACGAGCTTGACACCTGTCCTCTGGCAGCCCTCACGAAGGCGTCTCGGGAAAGAGTTGAAGTCTCCGTATGCTGAGAACATTGTGACGGCGCCTTGTATGATGGGGTGGACTCGGAGTGCCATGCGGATATTTCCCGCCACATCTTCGGGCCGGACGTCGGATGGGACGGGGCAGTTTTCGATGTCCCAGAGGATTGCGACGGGCCCGTTTAGAATGGTTCGGGCCTGGTTCGGGCTGGGGGCTTGGTTTGGAGAGGGTGTTTTTGGGCTTGATGATGACATTGCTGTTTGAGGTTTTTAAATGCAAGGCGAATGAGTAAGAGAAAAAGATTGTTTAATAAAAAATGAACGTCGAGAGAAGAGAGTAAAAATTGGTCACAAACTACTTGAGATGAATCTTATGCTTAACAAAACTGAAATATAGTTCGACTAGGAGATCAAAGCAGTCAAGTATTTTTTAGCACAAGGTTAATTTTACGTAATGATAATCACGGAATTTGTTCTGCTTATACTTCAGATATAATTGGCCCGAATTCACAGTTCGATATCTTCTAAATAGATATATTGCAAACAACCAAGATCTTATAAATTGGTAAAAAATTAGACATTATTGATAGGAATGGGAATAGATATCCACACTATAAACCATATACACTGATTGTGGTAAAATTACGGGGTATCGGTATATGTCCTGGCAGACATTTCAAATGACTGCGAATATTTTTACAAAATTAAATTGCATGTTTGCAGATTTCAAAACCGGTTCCTATATACGGGTAAAACCAAATTTGATGATGACCTTCAGAAGTTCCAACTAAATCTAATATAAAGGGAGCAAAGGAGTTTGACTACCACTGGGGGGAAAATGCAGTACAGCTCCAAATGATCAAATGAAGATATTCTTTTCAATAAATTAACCTAATTTCATTAGAATAGAGGAAAATTCAAGAAACACGCAAAGAAATATAGGCCATGCGCTATACCCAGTGAACATCAACAGAGTGAAGAAAATGATAAGCCGCCCAATCAATGACAAAAATTTGAATTGAAAAGATAAAAAAATTTCCACCCAACCAACAATCAGCAAACCGATCAAATCATCAAAGCAATTAAAGATCCAAAGCTTCAACTCAAAAACAGCACATTTAAAAACAATACTAAAATAAAAACAAATATATCTACTCAAATCAAAGAACCACAGAAGAAAGCAAGACTAACCTGAAGCCGATATCAAGCTATCGAGTCGATAAGGGCTGCAAAAAAATGATCAACCAAAATACTAATAAAAAAAAACGGAGAAAATAAAATTAGTCAAGTATAATCTATGGAGTGTAGATTAGACTTGCAGTCCTGTGTGGTTTACAGAAATTTTTCTAGGGTTTTTCACAAAATGGGTTGGCGATGGCCGAAAGAGGAAGAGTGTTTGGTGACGAGAATATAGCAAGAAAATACAATGGATATAAAAATCAAATGCTAACCGACATAATAGATGTGTAGATGATCGTTGGTACTTGGTAAGCTTTGGCAAACGTAGATTGATGAGCGTGTTGGATTTGACTGTAACTTATGTCATTTAAAATTTTAAATATTATTAAATTATTTAAGATAATATTTTAATTATATCCGGCACAATATATTAAGTCAGTAATAATATAAGTTTATTTGAATATTTTTTTATTTAATTTTAATTTATTTGTAGGTATTGACTATTTTATATATAATTTTACTATTTACAAGTTATGAAATATTATAAATATGATGTCTGTATACAAACTACTTACATTTACTTATAAATTTACTGATTATCTTGATTTTATAACCTTTTTATAGCAATTCATATTTTGCATACTGTTCAATAACTAACTAACTTTCAATCCCTAAGTTTTATTTTTCTTTATTAATTCTAGATGCATGAAATATTAATTGTTTGATAATTAAATTTAAATTGTAGTAACTTTATTCGTTTATACAACAAATTTTTTTCGTAGTAAACAATTTTTTTTTTTGTGTATATTTAGTTCTTTTTCAATTATCACCAAATGCTATATTTTAATGATGACATTTGACTATATTATTTTATTTACTCATTTTTATTTATTTTTTTACAACTTGAATCATTTTTTTTACATATATTTCTAGTGTGCAATTTATAATTCTTAAATTCACCCGACCATCAAATAATAAATTCATTAATATATTGATGTAAATTTTTAGAGTATTCACAATAAAACCGTATTCAAAGGATATATACTATTTAATGGTTAATACATTTTAGCAAATTTTATTATTCATGTTGTAAATTATTCACTAAGTCAATATGAGTCAAACACAACTATTCTAATTATTTGTTATATATTTTAAGTGCTTCTGATAAGTGAATATAATTAATAAAATTAATATCTACATGAGATGATAATACAATTAATCAAATCAATTTTCATAATTATATCCCTAAAAAGCAAGATCCAATTTTTCGAAAATTACACAAACATAGTAAGCACATTTTCTATTCACCCACCCAACTGATGCATTTTACATTCACCAATTTCTGCACATTCTTGCACACAATTAAAACTAACAAGTAACATAATAAAACCTCACCACTACTATTAAAAGACATGCCCAAAGAGCTTGAAATCTTGAACCTTGCAAACAGCTATTTAAGGTTGTTCAACATTCAACAAGAAAACCATTCCTTCTCCGGGCTAAAAATTCAAGAAAATCCAACCGAAATTCTTCTTTATTAATACAATGCAAATACACCTTATTTCATAAATAAACAATCAAAGTTTGGAAGCTGCCTCCTTGTCTAAAAACCAAGTCAACTCACCTTCGGGCTCGACAAGTCCAACAGGAAGCACCTCACAATTCGAAACATCGCTAAGCGCAGTATAAACTGCACTTGCTTTACCAGCACCGGCCACAACAAGGGCTACATTTGCCGAAGAATTTATAACCGGGAGAGTGAATGAAATTCTTTCCGGGGGAGGTTTAGGCGAGTCATTGATAAACGAAACCCATTTCTTGTTTTCTTGAACGAGAGNGATCGAATTTGGGGAATTTACCATTTTGGGATTGGTCGAGTGTTTTGGTTTTCACTAGATGATCGAGGCGCGTCTCGTAATCTTCGGCGGCAGCTTCTGCTGATAATGTATCGTCTATGGCGTGTACATTATCAATAGGAATTGGAACCTGTAGGAAGAAGTGGATTAAAAAATATTTCACATCGTAAAAAACATAAAATTTGATAGCGTAAAGATATCTTCTTTGGTATGTTGACTGTTGTATATAGAAATTATTACAAAAAAAAATAAAAATGAATAATCTGCACAATTTGTGACTTTATCTGTGTTTATGACAATGCGCCTCGGGGTTTCAGCACTTGGCATGGAAAAAAAAAATAAAAATAAAAAATCTAGCCATATATATTTACAAAAACATTTCAAAAATACAATTACTGCAAAAGAACAACTTATAGCAACAATGAAATAATGGGTAATGGCAAATAACAAAATCATCATAAATATATATTTTGCAACAAACGAAGTAGTGTCTCAGTCGAGCAAAACAAAAGTCTTCAATGTCTGAAAACTATACACGCACACACACATCTTCCTTGTGGAGCGAACAAATAAAAGGAGTTAGATCAACAGATCAAATTGTTGATAGCAATCAAACCTAAGTTCTAGCTTATGCTCTTTTAGATTGATAATTTGAATCAAACTTGATTCTACCCCAGAATAACTGCTAAAACAAGAAAGCCTTAATTTGGGACGAAATAGCAAGCAGATTTCTGATATTGAAGATTTGGAGCTTACTAACACAGCAACAAGATGCAAGAAAATATTAAAAAGCAATATTGCCTCCGACAAATGCAAGTAGAAAAAACTAGGGGTGGTTTTTCTTAATCAAAAACCGAATCTTCTTTCCCAATTCAGGCTCGGCTGCTCGCCCAAAATAAAAAATTCGCATTATTTCAAGAATTCTTCTCAATTGGCTTTTCTTTTCCGTTCTGTAAGTAATCTCTCCTTCCNATGAATAATCTGCACAATTTGTGACTTTATCTGTGTGTTTATGACAATGTGCCTCGGGGTTTCAGCACTTGGCATGGAAAAAAAAATAAAAATAAAAAATCTAGCCATATATATTTACAAAAACATTTCAAAAATACAATTACTGCAAAAGAACAACTTATAGCAACAATGAAATAATGGGTAATGGCAAATAACAAAATCATCATAAATATATATTTTGCAACAAACGAAGTTGTGACAATTAAGTTTTTTGCTTCAGGGGTTTTCCAGGATTCAACAATGCAATAAATTATTACTACAACATTTCAACGTGACAGAAACTACTGGTTCCAGTAGCGTCTCAGTCGAGTAAACCAAAAGTCTTCAATGTCTGAAAACTATACACGCACACACACATCTTCCTTGTGGAGCGAACAAATAAAAGGAGTTAGATCAACAGATCAAATTGTTGATAGCAATCAAAACCTTTTTAAAAATAAGTTCTAGCTTATGCTCTTTTAGATTGATAATTTGAATCAAACTTGATTCTACCCCAGAATAACNAGAAAGCCTTAATTTGGGACGAAATAGCAAGCAGATTTCTGATATTGAAGATTTGAAGCTTACTAACACAGCAACAAGATGCAAGAAAATATTAAAAAGCAATATTGCCTCTGACAAATGCAAGTAGAAAAAACTAGGGGTGGTTTTTCTTAATCAAAAACCGAAACTTCTTTCCCAATTCAGGCTCGGCTGCTCGCCCAAAATTAAAAATTCGCATTATTTCAAGAATTCTTCTCAATTGGCTTTTCTTTTCCGTTCTGTAAGTAATCTCTCCTTCCTAAATCTGAAGCTTT